TTTTTATATAGATGACATAAACGGAGAATATTAATTTTAGTTTTGAATCGGATCATTTAAAAGTACAAACTCAAACGATTTAAAAGATATATTGCTTATGGCTGGGTGAATAGTATTAGCTGAGTTGTGTTGAAGATTAGAGACGTGCTCCAGAAAAAAAGTTCACGGTGACCGAGAGGCAGAACGCACACCCTGTTTATTTTCTTTATTTTACAAAAGCACAATATTTTATTTCGATTGTATGTGGGCACATAAAAAAGTAGACATTTAACAGATTATTTTCTCATATTTCTTAACTCTATATGAACAGAAATGATGGTAGTACTTTAAGTCTATTTTTCTGCTATGTGAAAAAAAACGAGCAAAACGCGCCCGCGCGTTTCTGGTCCCCAGAGGGTTAAAAAAAGGGTTATAGTATACATTAGCATATACTGTCCTGTTCCATTTTCTCTTTCAGGTCAAACACTATCATTACACATCAACAGTTTGAAGATTCTTGCTGAGCAAGATAGTTAAACTGTCGACATGTTTATATCTAGCTACCGGACGGAGTAACATCTGGTTTAATAACATGGACTTCAGAAGGAAACTCTTATGACTCCCTTGAGTACTGAGGTTTGTTAACGGCATAGTAATGCACTTTAAGTTGGTTCGGTGGAAGAGCTGCAGTGTGTTGGCCGAGTCCCTAGTCTAATGCTGTCTGAATCTAGTTGCTGCATTTCCTGGCCAGGTGTGTCTTAAAAAACATAAATCTCAATCAGAAGAATAAAACGTGTCTAATAATGCTGTCTCTGGTCGGCCGCGCTGCAGTGTCACAGAGCGCTCTGATTGTTGTGGGACAGCCGTAAGAAAACGCCTTCAGTCACACCCTTGCATACTTGCTGTCTTATCGAAATCTCACACCCTTGCTAACACACAACCTCAAGATTCTCCCGCTGTGAGTCTGTCCGCTGGTATCTGAGGCATCAGAAGCAGTTACAGCGACTCCACATCTCTGGCGCTTCACCAACTTGGTTATAAGGTGTGGAATTATTGTTGTTCATTTAACTGTCATGTCCAAAGTCAAGTCAAATTATATATCACTTTATGTGAGGGCATTTTATGTATGCGAATACAGTTGGACATACTTATGTTTTTCCAGAAAATGTTCATGTTATCGCATTGGACTAAAACTTACTGGCTTCACTCACACAGGGTATAAATGCTTCCCAAAATGTTTTGAATAATTTTTTTTACTTTTTGAGGACCCCTACACACACACACACACACACACACTTGATTATTTTATTTGGAATGACCAATACTGATTAAAACAACAAAGTATCCAAATATTCACAAAGAGCCTGTTGTGTTTCACCTGACAATACACACATCGACAATAGTCACAACCACATGAATATATAAATAAATAGACTATGGATAGAGGTGACATCGCCTTCTCCAAACATGCAGACTGCCTACATTTCTCATTACATTATATAATCAGCAAATATTAGATTCAATCTTTGTCAACTTGTTTTCTTTCAATTAGGACAGGTTTTCTATTTCTTTTTGCAACTAACTGATCGTAAATGTATTCTTTTTAAAATCCAGTTGTACTTTTTCTATACAAACTCTTAACTAATTTAGATCTACAGTAGAGTACTGAAATTGCATACTGTCAGAGTAGGCTCTACATTTGAGAACTTCATAACTGTTATTAAAGTATATATAAATTATAGTATAAAAAAATGATCATCTAGCATGCATGTGTTTATCTGAATGTACTACATCCGCTGCTGCCGGTCACGGCTCCACTTCCATAGTCTATGAATAGTAAAGTGTCCATGGATGTGAACTTCAGGGGCCGGTTTCACAAAGCTGTGTTAGACCGGTCTATAGTGTTAGACAAGTCTAAAATTTGCTCATGGACTAGTCTAATGCAAGTTTGACTGTTTCACAAAAATAAAGACGGACTTAATTTAGACCAATAAAAAAATAGGACACCTTACCCCAGGCTAACTTAGGTCGACTCTGTTACCTTGGCAACCAGCAGTAACAATCAGTTACATTACAAACAGCCGAAAGAAAGCATAGGCGACTGTCCACCATATACATTCATCACCATTTCAGTGGTGTCTTTAAGTGTCTCTTGGGGTCCTCCTCCCGTTTTTGGATATTTCCTCTTAAATATTTCTCTTTTGGCGGCTTGTACCATGTTTCTGTATCTATTCTGTACGTCTTTAACGCTTCGCTCAACGGTCGGATTAACGCCGTTAACTGTCGTTGCAATCTTTGTCCAAATTAAACATTTCTTTTTGTTACTACATTCTCCGCTAAATTTCCCAAGTAAAATGTCCCTTGTAACTGTTATACTCCTCCAACAAACATATATTTTCCGCTGGGGTAAACTGCACTGAGCGGTTGAATGCGCTTACTCGATCCGCCATGTTTTTTGTTTTGAAAAAGTGTCTTATTTTACCCAGAATGCATTGCAGTGTAGTCCTACTTAAGATAGTCAAGTGCTTTGTGCAACGGTCTGATTTAGATGTCTATCTGAAGTCTGACTATCTGCTATATCTAAGCCATAGTCAAAGTCTATCTTTGTGAAACCGGCCCCTGAATCATCGCGTGAGTAGTTGGTCATCCGGCCATACTTTTTTTCTTGCCCACTGTTTTATGAAAACTGAATTCAGATCTCATTTCACATACTGATTTTCACCTACTATATAGTAGGGAGATACAGTATGTGTATTCAGAAACTAATTTGGTGGTTAAGGCAAAAAAGTCACAACAGATTTTTAAGAAATCCATAAAGTTTCAAGGAAAAAACATTATTGACAAAAATGTTTCTAAAATACTGTTGAGGTCAATTTCATAGGAAATGAATATGGGTCAATTTGACCCCCTTTATGCAGTCTTGGGGTATTGATACAAACAAAAAAAACTTGTTTAGGACCCTCAATTTTTTTTAGGATGGTAAATTATTATTATTTTTGGTTATTTCCTATGAAATTTAACTCAACAGTATTTTTGGATACATTTTTGTCAATAATATATTTTTCTTTAAACTTTATGCATTTCTTAAAAATCTGTTTTGACTTTTTTGCTCTGAACCAAGAATTTGCCTTCACCACCAAACCCGTGTCTGAATAAATCAATGAAACATTTATTTATTTGATATTCCATGAATTCTTCAAAAAAGAGTTCTCATCCTCTGAAAATGACATTGAGGGTCCGAAACAAGTTTTTCTTTTTTGAAGAATTCATGAAATATCAAATACATAAATGTTTCATTGTTAAAAATATATAATAAATCACAGCATGCCGGGTCAATTTGACCCCTTATGCATTTCTAGGGTAAAAACAGCCAGATCTGAGAAACTGGCCACATATAATCTACTTCTGGGAGTAATTCGTCACGGTTTATAAGTCTACTGGGAAAGTGTTTCGTTTGCAACTTGTCATTGTTATTATGAGAGCTTTAACAGAAGATCTAGTCAGTGGATTTGGATTTGGAGTTCATGAGGTTCATGGCATCTCAACTTTGAAGGATGTTTTCTGAGTGAAATGGTAATGTTTGTCCACTCGAGTGCTGAAATAATCGAATGCGTACCAATCTGTATGATGCCTGGAATTAATATTTTAAATATTACATGTGACCCACATTGCTCAAACGTTGAAGGAATTGGCGTGCTGTGGATGTTGCTGGTGTAGTTTCTTCTGTGTCTTTGTGGAGCTCCACAGAAAACCGAAAGCTGCTGAACTTCAGCAGATGCGCAGCTGTGAAACGCCAAACATTTATGTCCTTTTTTATCTCAAGTAAGATCAAGACTTTTATATAATTACACCGATTACAGACCAAACCAAAATCTTTCCGCAGGAAATGCCTGACCACCAGCGCAAGGACGAGTGCTCTTGTGATCTGCTGTTTTGCACCTGTTTTTCTCCTTTTGAAGAACTGGCTTTGCGGGAAGATTTGTCAGTTTTGTACCTCGTAGAGTCTGATGAGTCCTGCAGATGTTGAGTCGGGGCTTTGCAGCTGTGACCTGCTGTTTATTGGTGTCAGGCTAACAGAAAACCTGTTTGACTGAAGTCATAATGACCACTGACATTGAGGTATGCACATCAAACTAAATTTATAATCTGCAGCAAATGGTGTTTTCAGCCTGCGCTAATTAATAAATTCAGTGTCCACGTGTTCAAATACATTGAGCTTCAGTGCTCATGCAAGCAATGTGAGTTCAAATCAGGCTTGCAACATATCCAGAGTCCTCAGGAAGGTTTCTGTGTTCAGATTTGAATATCATGTTTGGCACTTTAAACGCCTCACCTTTTGATTATTATTATTATTTTAATTATTATTGGGAATGAACCAAGCCAGAATCAAACATTGGTTGCCCGATCAGGTTGTACTGTACTGTTAATATTAAACAAACAAAAAAACAACGTAAATGTCCGGGTATACTTCATTTTCTGCGTTCCACACCGTCTCATGCACAGTCAGAGATTTCAAAGTATACTCAAGCAAGTATGGACAAGTTAAACACATGAATGGTATAAATACTTTCTTATACTCTACCAGATGTCAGAGGGCAGCACTGATGACAAAAATTACATTGTGGAAACGCGGGTGGACGAAGAATATTGTGGGCTCGAGTAACCAATGTTTTGCAAATTTGGTACGTTGCTACAACATGCTGCAGTTCAGCAGAATTCAGGCAGTATGCTGTGAAACGTGAAAGCAACGTTAAGATTTAGGGATTTAAAAATGCATCTATACCTGATTTTATAATAAAAATTGTCTGTTTGTTATTGGGATTTTTGATTTCACATTTAGATTTTGGTTTAGATTTGACTATTCGTGAGCTGAAATAGTAAAATGGAGCCAACCCTTTTCTTTTTTTTAAATTCAAAATAGACTTGATGTGCTAGTGTGTTATAAAATCATTTGGTTTTACAGCTTCTTGGGTGATTTCTGACTTCAGATGTGTTTCAGCTCATATTCTCTTTCCTTCCAGTCGGTGGTGAAGACGGGTCGGCTGCTCATCAGTCATGAAGCTCCAGTGACCGGAGGCTTTGCAGCGGAGATCAGCTCTACTGTTCAGGTAAGAAGCAGATGCTAAATCAAGGCTCTTGGGGATGTCATTGACCAGTGCTGATTACGTTCAAGCAGGGCCTATTAACACTCGCCAAGCGCCAAATCCAAGAAAAAATTGGCGTTGGCGAGTATATGAAACGGTGTCGATCGCCAGTTGGCCCATAACGTTTTTGTGAAGATGAAATGTTGATGAACAAACATGAACGTCACTCGGGACAGTGCTGCATCGTCATGAAAGTTTAAGCCTTGCCAATTTAAATATTCAAGCTCAAGAAGATGCTAAATGGACCTCGATTCGTTACAAACACGCTGTGTGGGAAGTTTAAACGTCCGTGCGCTCCCAGAAATCCACGTCTCAGACAGCGCACGAATACTAAATTGAGTTGTCTTTCATGTCGTCTTGCGCTTGAACGGACAAATTCACACAATTATGCCAAGAAATGTCTCGTGAGTATCCTAGTAAACATAGTCGGTTATGTCTTAGGTAAAAGTAAACAGTTAAGAAAGAAAATGTGTACAGAATCAGTATATTGGATCTGTGCATTATGTCCTAAAGTGACAACAGCCTAATGTTCTTGCTGTTGTCTGTTTTTAATCTTTATCAAACAAATTAATCTGTTTAATTTATACTATGCAGTTTTTATTTGATTACTTTATTAAATTTCGGTACCTGAATACTACTGTTAGACCTACCTGAAAAACACTGTTTGTTTCATTTGTATTTTTGTTCTATAGTATTGATTTATGCTCTTGTACTTATAATTCTATTATTTGTTCTTATTTTATCCTGTTTGTTTGTCTTTAATAATGTTTTAAATTGATATTAGTTAGGCTAGTAGTTTTAGCTGTGGTATTAAAATTGGAATAGAGAATTGTGAATTTACACTGGAATCAAAAGTCGTTTGCTGCCTGTTTTTGCAAAAAAAGTGTCATGGCTGGTAAATAAATAAATAAAAAATCATTTTCTTAAGTCACCAGCCATTGGCAGGGGTGACAAAAAGTTAGTTTTAGGCCCCGTGTTCAAGTGTGATGCAGATTTTTTTTTTCATTACACTTCTTTTTCTGCTTTTTGACAGTTTGTAAAACAATATTTGGAAAAAAAAATGTGCCATTTAATTCTAGATCTGTGGCCAGTTGCATAAATTAGTCTCTCTAGATTAAATTTAGAACTAATCTGACCAACTAATATGTAAACCAAGGGATAACTATTCTTATTTTTCAAATTAAACCAATTTACATTTAGATGACTAACTTGTAAGAATAGTACATTTTATGCAATAGAACATTTTATGCAACTAGCCACAGATATTCAAGTATTTGACTCTCAGTTTTGTCATCATCGACCATTTAAGTAATATTGGTTACCATTTACAAACTATACTTGAGTCTTATGAATCCTACCCCAGACTTCTGTTTTGAAACCGATTAGTGTAATGATATACTCACAGCGAAGTTCTTTTTTGTTCTACGCTTAGGGGTAAAAAGTTTGAAGCGATATACTTAGCGATATACTTAGATATAGTTTTTGCAGCGATATACTGTTAGTGAACATCCAGACACTGGCCACACTGATGAGAGCAGCGTTTAGATAAATATGTAAATACACTTTCATCTCAATAACAAAATAAACACAATAAAAATGACAGCGATGAGAAAACAGCAGTTGAGAAAGCATCTGATCATAGAGTTGTGGATATGTTTGCATTGGCTCTGCAATTCAGCCCTCCAGTAAAGTCATGTCAGGTTTATTTATATAGCATTTGTACAATAGATTGCCTTAAAGCAACCAGCTTTACTTTATAAAACATTAAAAACTGTGTCAGTGCTGCTTTTCCATTTTGAACTTCCGAAACTACCTCCAAATGAACTTCGTTTTGGCCTGATTTTGTTTCAAATTAAGTCAGACAGAAAGCAACTTTTACATCAACCAAACAGTTGATGTGTGAAAACAGCCTAACGCTTACTTCACATCTTATTTTGTAGTGGAATGATCTGCAAACTTTCTTTTTCACTGTATCTGACATTTCTAGTTGCCCATCAATCAAATGTCTTTGATGGAAAAGAGTGTTAACAAATCCTGCCTGAGAGGTGAAAGTTACAGCAGTGTTTCATGGAACATTTCTTATTATCAATGTTGAAAACAGTTGTGTGGCTTCATATTTTTGTGGAAATCCTGATTATTTTTTATTTTTTTAGCATACATGTCTAGAAAATTCAAAAGAACAGTTTGTATTTGAAACCGAATCTTTGTATATTTTATAAATGTCACTTTTGATCAATTCAATGCATCATTGCTGAATCAATGTAATAACTTCTTTAAAACAAATTGTACTGACCCCAAGTTTTTGAACAGTAGTGTACACATTCATGAGCGTCTCAGGGCTCAGCGAGCTGGTGCTGATGGTGGAAATTGTATCAAGAAATTCATCCATGCATAGATGCAGGGCCAGTCTTTAAACATAAACATCATCAGTTACGTTTCCATTGACGTCAAAGTTTGTTAAAGCACCTGTGTGTGTGTGTGTGTGTGTGTGTTTGAGCATGAGTCAGGCGGATGTGCACAGATAATGGCATTGAACAGAAAAGTTGCTTAAAAATGGCTATTAGCTGCACGTAAAACCTGAACTGTGGTCAAGCTACTGATGTCTGTGATAACGGACTGTGATAAACTTTTTTTTAGTTTTAGTACCACATTAAACTATTATATACAATGTTGAATATAATGTATAATTATGATATTTGTGGGTCCTGATAATGCCAAATGTCTGATGTTACCAGTAAAAAGTGGCTACATTATTTTAAATATATCTAGTCGTTGACAGAGTGCTAGCATATTCGTCTAAAATAATTCTGTATTTTCAGTTTAAGAATCATTAATATTTTTATTCTGATGTCATCATTGTCCTGTGCATTGGGTTTCCAGCACCAAGTCCAAGCCTTTTCATTTACACCCCCGATGTAATACCAAATTTTCCATTTTAATCAACAGTACATTTTTTGTTAACTTTTTATATAATGTCTTGGAGTATCACTATAATATCATATCGTGAGTTCAGTATCGTGACGTATTGAATCGTGACATGAGGGTATCGTTACACCCCTAGTGTGTAGTCCCACTAAACTAGTGACATGCTCAAAATGCTCTTGAAAGTGCAATTCATACATGCATTACATTATGATTTTCCAGTCATTTGGTTATGTTAGCTGATCTTGAACATCTAAATCCTTTTGCAGTTGTGGACAGCTGTTGAGCTCGAATTACCTCAGATGTTGGGCTCCACTAGAGGTTTTTCATTCTTGAATGAAATATAGTTATCATTATAATGCAGTTATCTTTATAGTTAGTTATTGGTGTGAACAGGCCTTTAAAGTGTTTTAAAAGTGTATTTAAAGGATTAGTTTACAAATACGAATTGTCATCAATTGCCGTATTTTCCGGAATACAAGTCATGCTTTTTCTATCATCTAAAATGTGCTAACCTGATCACAGCCCATTCATAATAAAACTAAAATGCAGTTAACCATATGTAAAATGATTGGACTGGATACCTCAGATCATGTATGGTGTTGAGGAGATTTCTGCAGAAATGGTAAGAGTCTAGTTGTGTTATTCTGTCACAGTAGAGACACATTCAGCTTCATGCAGTCACTGAGCAGATGATCGTACAGAAGCTGAGACTGTAGATGACCGTACTGTTATTCCTGGACCCAGTGCTGGATTTTTCAGATTGATCTCGGTGTTCCTGGACAACTCCATGGAATAGTTGGAGTAATATTCAGTATCATCTGTCTCGTTCTCTTTGTCTGTGTATGAATAAAGCAGCCTGTGTGTGTCTGTGCAAATGTGTGTGTGTGCGTGCGTGTGTGTGTTTGAGGGGTCAGATGTTCCCTGCTTTATGAGGACAAAATGTCCCCACAAGGATGGTAATACAAGAATTTGTTGATCTTGAGGGGACATTTTTTGGTCCCCATGAGGAAAACGGTTTATAAAGCGTACTAAATGATGATTTTGCACAACAGCACCTTGTGCTCAGCATAAATAAAGCAAAGCAAAGCATATTGACAGCTAAATTAGAGCTAATATGAGCACTTTCCACAGTGGTGAAATTTATTAAATATGTGTGTATGCTATAATTAAATTAATTCTCTGAACGTCATTGCATGTTTATTTCAACTTCATTAAGTTTAAATTACAATTCTGCTTTGTTTGCCACTTCAGTTCACAGTTCAGTTCATTGTGTTTCTCAAATCAGTTCTGAATGTCAAAACCGTGGTTTGTGAAGACCCATGGGTAAAAAACATGGGAAATCTCCAGTCCTGACATTTGTTACTGTGCTGAGATGATGTTTCTGCGTGTCTGAGCCGCTCGGAGTGACGGTAAAGTCCTCTGACATGCACAATCGCTGACCGTTATCAAGCGGAAGTTCAGAATGAATGTCTAAAAATGGCCTTTCAAGATCAGCGTCTCTGATCGATACGTCATGTACGTACGTAAAGGATCTGAATGACCCAGAGGAACTTCTGCAACACTGTCAGTGAATTTGAGAAGATTTACACTGCTTTTAGTCGTTCAGACTCTGGTTTATAGCATATGTCCCATAACTAAATTATGTACATATTTAGTTTTTATCACTAACGGCTGGTCATAAACCGCCTCATTGAGGTTGATTTTGGAGTTCATGTTGTAACGTGGGAAACTTGATTAATTCACTGGCATTGAAACGTATTTTTCGCCACAGATTTCTTTTTCTGCTTTCTTTGAATGTGAATTCAAATGTTTCATCTTATTTCAGAGTATGTGAGTGTTTCAGAGTGTCTGTCCTCGAATGGCTTTGGGCTCCTCAAATACAATACGCGCAATTGTCTTTTTTTTTTTTTTTGGCTCTCACAGACGGTAATATGGGCATTTCCATGTCGGTATAGTCTTTCAATACTCTCTAATCTGTGGCTGTTGCTGGTTCCACTCTGACAGCAAAAATGTGTTTGAGTGCACGTTAAGATACATTA